TGACAAAGAAAATGAGGATACTTGTAACCATAGAATATTCAGAAAGAATAGAGAAATTGTTAGGCAGAAGAGTGTTTAGACATATAATATATAAATACAAGGCTTCAAAATAGAACCATTGAAGAAAAATGACATTTAGGCATATTCCAGCCAGTACATTACATAGAAAAATATGCTGATCAGGTGGTAAAAAACAGAATGGAATACTTTGGACCAATATAGAACTCTACCTAGATGCCAAGTGGTTTATAGATATACATTATTTTCATATAATTCAGTACATTTCTGTGACATATTAATATCTGTATTACAGGCAAAGAACAATGAAATTCAAAAACCAAGTTGCAGAAAAATATTTGAACTAAAATCTACCTGGTTCTACAGCTTTTTTCATTATTTCATACCAGTGATTATTAAGCACAGTGTTACCATTTATTTTGCAGCAAAAATAGAAAAGATTCACAAAGATGGAACCTGAAATTTTATGAGTTTAAGATTCTATGAATTTATATATAAAGTCATTAAGACACAGTAAGTATGAAGCCTGCAAGCCAATCTAGCTCATAGGCAGATATAAAACAAATTTTTGAAAATGAAACAAAATTTCCTTAACTGTAAGTTGAGTTAGCAGCGAGAGACAGTTAAGCAAACACATTCTGCAGCTACAATAGGACTTATTTTGGATTAACATGCAAATCATAATCCTCTTGTGAATCACAGAAATTTGAAAACCCAGATGGATGGACCCAATAGAAAAATAAATAATATTTCTTTAAGACTTTTGCAATTTTCTTCCTATTGTTGGTCTTATTTCACATCTTATTTTTTCATTTGTCTTCTGTCTCATTTCTATAATAAACCAGGCTCCATTTCTGAACAAGAACTGTGAAAAAGAAAGAAGAAAAAGAAAGAAGAAAAAGAAATAAGGAAAGAAAGAAAGAAAAGAAAAGAAAGAAACAAGTGTTGTTCTAGGGAAATAATTATTAAGAATTTGTGGCCTCTGTTCAAAATCTGACAAAAAGTACAAAGTTTCTCATCAGGATGTTTTGCATTTTAAATTCGAGATGTTCATGGACACCTTCAATCCCATTCATGAACATTCTGTGTTTACTTCTTATTTAGCTTAACCTTTTTTCATGGGCTTCTGACAATTTCAGCTTTTAGATTTCCCATAAATATTCAACTTTTAAAAATTAAAACTTGACTGAGGAAAAATTCTAATGTTTTGATTTGAGGAAAAATGTTGATTTGACCTCTAGCAGCTAAGAACACCTTAAGATTTGCATTTTTATCACTGTACACTTACATCTGATTATGTTAAAAAGAAATCTGCAATTGTTCCTGTGTTTTTCATAGTAACCTTTAACTTCCTGAATGTCTAATCAATCTTTATTTAAAAGAAAAATATCATTTTTGTCTTAGATGTCTGTGCTTTCCTATAATACATATTTTCTTTTATTTCAAGGTATAGCTTTTCTTTAAGATCATCTCATTTACCTATCATTTATCAAAGATAACTTTAATTTTCTATTTTTTCTTCTATTATTGGAAATGCCAGACACTAACTACAAGACTGAAGATTTTTGATTGTTAAAGTGATGAGTTTCCAGTGACATATACATGAAAAACCAGCATATAGCTAATATCACTGACCACACTGACTGCTCGGGGAACATGGGTTTCTAAATGCTATGTATGTGCTTGCTTTCACTTTCATGTAAGTTTTAATTAAGAGCTTTATTACTTGGGCTCACCTGTGTATGTATGGCATTAGTCAATATTTTAGGTAATCTCAACATTGGCAAAAACAATTATGGTTAAAAATAATAGTATGTATAAAAATTTATGTAGAATTTTCCCAGTAAATTCATTTAGAACATTCTGATTTATCCATGTAGATTGAAGGAGGGAATAAAATGTTTTGCCATCTTAAGACTCCACCTTTTCCCAGTATCAAAACTTTTTAACTGACCACAGTTAATAGTCATATATAGGACAAGCTCAAACTGGATATAAGTGACATAACTTCAATAGCTCTGAAATCCTTTCTGCATACCAAGCTCTCTGAGAAGATTAATTTTCAATCCCTGATCCTGCCTATTACACTGTAACTCTAATTTCCTTTGGAACTACAAAGGGAATGAAGCCACTAAAATAGCCTACCAGATTGTAGATATGGTAATTGTCATATCTTGGGTAAATTACTTAATTTCTTTATATGTAAAGTGAGAATAATAATACTTCATAGGGTTGATATGAATATTAACTAGGTAGGAATATAAAGCAGTATATGCTATGAGCTCAATATGTTACAGTTATTATCACAGCATAAATTCTTCCCCCAGTTTCATTTCATATCTCAGAAGAGCAAAATGAATCGCCTTGCATTTCAAACTGATTCCATAGCTCTAATAAATCTTATATTTTATTGATCTACATTTATAAACCAGTATGAATTATGTATACATGCATATATGTAAAGTGTGTATCATATAAATATATATATATATATTCAAAATATTAAGGGGGCTTAACATCACATGGCTCTCCCCATAAAGGATTATATTTGGATTTATGTAATTGCTCTGGCTATAGCTTTGCATCATTTCCAAATTTTAGGGGATACATAAAATTTGCTAATATACATAAGCAATTTATTTGCTATGAGCTCCAGTGTTGATTTGGTTATATTGTAGAAAGTATGAAAACACATATTTGAGCTGAAATACTGCTTCACACATACAAGTCCCAAACTGCACAGGAAAGTTTTTAACATTTAGAGTTATAATGAGACAGCTTTACATCCATCTTGAGAAAGCAGCAGTGTAAAGTCTCTTTTCGTCACAGATTTAAGAGTAATAAATAATATATTAAATGTATAGAGTTTGCAGATTTAATACACAAAATACTTCAGTGATGACTGAGTTTGTAATTAATATAATCTGCAAATGGGGTGATAATTTTATCTAATTAAAAATTTTAAATATAGGCTGAGCATGGTGGTATATGCCTGTAATCCCAGTACTTCGGGAGGCAGCAGCCAGATAACATGGGTTTGAGACTAACCTGGCCAACATGGAAAACCCCATCTCTACTAAAAATAAAAGAAATTAGCGGGGCATGGTGGCATGTGCCTGTAGTTCCAGTTACTTGAGAGGCTGAAGCAGGAGAATCACTTGAACCCTGGAGGCAGAGGTTGCAGTGAGCCGAGATTGTGCCACTGCACTCCAGCTTGCATGGCAAAGTTAGACTCCGTCTCAAAAAAAAATGTGTATATATATTCATTATATATAGTATATATATATTCATTTTATATATACATTATACAGATACACATACATATATATGAATATACATTCATTATATATGTACATTTTTGTATATGTATATGTAATGTATATACATTCATTATATAATGAATGTATATATTTTACATATATTTACAATTATTTTACATATCTTTATATATAACTAATTCATTATTATACATAAAATAATTAATGATTTAATTCAGTTTAATTAATTAAGTTTAATATAGACTATAGCCTTGAAGAAAATTATAAATGTCCTAAAAACAAATTCATCCACTAAGATAAAATAATTCACACTAGAGAGTATATAAAGGGATGATGAAATAATATGTATAACACATATACACACATGCACACACACAAAGAATACAAAAGATGTAGGCTAGCATTACCTGGTAAAGCATTGAGTATAGGGACAAAATGTGTGACCTGTTGGTTTGTTAAGTTACAGTAACAAGCAGAAAGTGTTGAAGATCAAAATCCAGGTATGAACTTACAAAGGTGGAATTAATGTGGCAGTGTAACCCTAAGATGCACAAACAGGTCACAGGTCCTGTTGTGCATGAACTTGTGCTGTTTCAGTCTACTTAGTTACAATTATGTGCCTTCAATGTCTTGCTCTACGTTTAGCAGGATTCCAAACTGAATAAAAAAGCTAAACATTTTTAATTCCTTCACATAAAGACAATGAAAAAAAATACCAGAAATAATTCTGAATGTTTGATGACAGGAACTGCAGAAAAAAAACAAACAATAAAATGAAGTAGCTATCAAAAATGGCCAGAAATATGCTTCCTGAAGTTACATAACTGTGTATGGCCAGGGGTTAACTTAACTGAGAATCTAGATCATGCAAATATTACACAGTGTCCATGGAGTAAGCCCAGACATTTGCTCCAGTATCTGAAGTATAAGAGTTGGGGACATGGTGGGAGGCTGTTTACTGTTGATAAAAAATAAATATGACCCGGGTATCCTTGTTTCTGCTCAATGGAGACAAAATTACAATTCAGACTCCAAATATCAAAACAACTGCTTTTTTCAAATAGACTTGAAAATGTCAGATCTCTTGACTCTGAAAGGAAATGCTGATAGTGCAAAGTAAATGGATTGTAGATTGGAGGAGAAAATATGTTCCTGAAATATGTTCCAAGACAACACAAATACCAACATGAAGGAATTCAGCACAGAGAGAGGGAGGGCTCCAGAGCCATAGGGCCATCATCACTTGTAGATCATAAAGAAAGAAAAACAAGGCCTTACTCAGAATTTAAAGACCTCTTAAGCAAGGGAGTAAGTGCCTACTGTTATTTAGCAATAATGGTCCTGAAACAAGACCAAACATTAAAGCTCATAGGACAGGAGCAATGCTAAATACTTGCTAGAATCTTTAACCAGATGACTCTTCTACTGTTAGATTTGACTCTTCTACTGCTAGGTTAGTGTCATGCTAGCTCCTCAGTGAGGAAAACACAAATGGATTACTGACCAGTAAAGATGCCTATACCTAGATATCCTTATAAGTGCAGAATTCATAAGTCATTCTCAGAAATACACTTAGCTTTTGAAATTTGTGAGTAAAACAATCTTTAAACACACTTGATGGAGGAGCACTATATTTTAACTTTTCTGGTAAAGATTCTAGGACATAGAGATAGTAAAAAGAGGAAAGCAATCTCCATCTTTTTATAACCAAATTCTTTCTTAACAAAGATTATTTCTCTAGATAAACTACAGGTTATACTGACACTGCCCTGGCTGACCACTTGTTCAATCCTGCATTAACCTTCACAGACTTTGGACTCTGATTTCATTCCTAGAACTTGTCTGTTCAGGCTTTCCAAGCCATAATTTAGATTTGCCTACAACCATTATTATAATATTTTTGGCTTGGCCAAAATGTTACATATTGTCACATTGAATTGATTTTTACATTTGCCTGATTTAAACATAATTTCAAATATACAATTTGAATAATGCCTTTACCTTGCTCATCAACATCTCTTGTGGATTATATTTTAATTCATCTTCAAGAAGACCTTTTTAGAGTGTGACAATGTGGTCACACTTTCACATATATGGAAAATGAGGCATAGTTTTCTCTTACAAAGTCAGCTAATCATTCAAAGTTAAAAGTACAGTTAGAAGTGAAGCTCCATTTTGCCAATTAAGAGAATCTGCAGTGTCTATACAATAACCAGTACCAATTTTTTCCCAGGAAGGAACTGAATTTTCCTAAACAGTCAAGTTCAAGGGGGGTAAACAAAAAGAAATAAAAATCAACTAATTTTCCTCACATTTCTATAATGCCTATAGTTATTATACATATATTGTATGAACACACACTTTTATACTTGTTTTAAAAGCAACATTTTCTAAATTCACTTGCCTGGTCATGAATCACTCTGTATTTATGTGCATATGGACACAGGTGTAAGAGGATATAAATGAATATTACCTTTGGAATGATTATAGTGATAATTTTGACCTTTTTCTCTGAATAAAACCCTACTGATAATTTAGAGAAAGATATTACTGAGCCAACTCAGAAGGTAAAGATATAAGTTGTTTTAAGGATACTTGTCACTTAAGTATATAAGTTGTCACTTAAAGATATAAGATTTTTTAAAAAGAGATGTGCTCTCACTGTGTAGCCCAAGCTTATCTCAAACTCCTGGCCTCAAGCAATCCTCTCCTCAACCTCCCAAGTAGCTGGAATTACAGACATGATGGCAATATAAGATATTTTAAAATCAGTCATAAATCAATTCTGATATAAGCTCTTAATGCTAAATAATTATTTTGCCAAATAAATGGCAATGATGAAGCTCTAGGAGCTTCAGAGTTTCTTTCATCCCTTTCTCATATGGTTATTATCTGTAATTAAATGCAGCCATTACTCATTTTTGTTCACCTAAACTGCTTTAATCCCAATATTTGGCAGTGATCTAGAGAATTCTGATATTCAAATAAATAAAATGAACACTACAAAACTCTATGAAGGAAAAGAAAAGAAGGAAAGGAAATGTACTACTTTAGTATCAAGAATTCTTTCTACTTTGCTGATATAAAGCTATCTCCATTTTAACACAGGTGAGATATAACTCAGCGTGCCTGCAAGAAAGTAAAATCGAAGAAGGCAAGAAGATAATTTTTCATCTGTTTGTGAGCAGACCAAAAATGCATTTCTACCTTTAAAGCACCTTGCAACATAATGGAAACCAGGTGAAGCTGAGTTTAAAGCTCATATAAAAATATTCAATAGCTTTCTATTTACTGAGGAAATTTATATACTTGACAGGTGACATTTTTGAGATGTAGACAATTGCTAGTAAAAAAAAAAAAAAACTATATCCATGAGAAAGCCTATGCTGTGAAGTATATAGATATACAAGGAAAATATAACACCATATAGAAAATTTGAATAGGAATTACATAGTTTAATTTCCTTAAATAAAAGTATATTAACATAATTATAATAAAACAATGAGATAACTTGTCTCAGATCAAGATGATATGTGAGCATAGACAAAAGTAACACTGATACTGCTTCTTGGCCTTTTGGCTAAGATCAAGTGTATAAGTAACAGAGGTAGAAACAAAAGAGGCCCACTTGAGGTCTTGGCCCTGCTATTTAGTTTCTACCCTTCTACTGCTCTCTTTCCTCATATTCAAATTGTAGCAAAAACAGCTATGCTATTAAACTCATAGGTTATTTGGGGATCATATGTGAAAATACATGTGAAAGTTTTATAAGAAAGTATATAATTATAGAACTATATTTATTCAGGTATCATTGCCTTAATTTGGAAACAAATGAATAAAGGGCTCCAATCAAGTATTTATAGCAAAATCTTCCTCTCAAACGTCTCTAATCTCTTATTAAGAACATTGATGTGCAGTGATTGAGAATTTAAAGAATAATAAGAGGTCAGATGCAGCTACTGGTACATCTACTACACTAAGGTAACATTTAAACTCCGGTCCATTTTTTCAGGGCATCCCTTCCCTAAATAATAATCATGTACTCTACAAACATGTAGTAATAGTGACCTAATTCTGCAGGTTATTATTTCAAAACCAGAACTGATTAGGGCTCTCCATAGCACACCATCATCAACAGCTTCCCATTTTCTTGAGTGTGAATTAATATCTCCTGAATATGGTATGCCTTCTGACTGTCTTCCTAGACTTTTCTCATATTAAAATTCCCCCTCCCATACTATCCTCCAACAGGTCTGAATTACCTGCGGCTAGGTAGCCAAGCTTACCAAGTTCTTAGAAAATAATACGCAGTTTGGTACTGATGTTCTGTTATTACTACCCTGGTCTTTTTATTTACCTAGAAAGACCCTCATATTTCAAGTTCAACTTTGGTGTATTGTTGTCTCTTCTGTAGTTTCCCATTTCCCTGGAAGGAATTAGCCACTGCAGTATAGCCTACACATATAATTAATTCTAAAACTTTTAAAACTTTATTATATTTCAGGAGGCAATATAGGGCAGTGTTAGGAGCATGGGTTTTAGAAACGGTCTACATCAGAATCTTGGCTGTTCAACCTTGTCACTGTGAGCATTATAATTTTTAAAAGCCTCAATTTTATGATCTGTAAAATAGGAGTAACTGTACTGGACCCAGAGGGTTAAATGATAAACTATATTTAAATGATGTATTGCAGCTCCTTACATGTAAGTATTACTCAATAAATGTTAGCTGGTAGTAAATCTAGCAGTAATAACGGCAGTGCTTGTTTCCATTATGGTCACCTCTTTAAAAATGAAAAATTTTCCACAGCAGATCTAATACTAATTTCATCTCTTTTGTACCCAACAATATGTCATTGCATGGTATATCTATAAAAAATGAGTATACTTGGAACAACATGATTGGCACTTTAAATCTCATATTTATTACCTATACTTCCCCACTTCTGCTTTAATACCAGTGGTAGGGTAGTACACTGAAGCCTTGTTTTCTTGGCTCCCTTGCCATTAGACTTCCAGTTAGGTTGGATGAGTGGGTGGCTCTCATCTAACAAGGTACCTCAACTTCCTGAGATCCAGGAGTCCACTTTTTTCTTTGTCCCTCCAGCTCTAAGCAGGTAGGCAGCTTCTGTTGGTGACTAACCTTAGGTTTGCCTCACCCTTCCCTGCTTGTTTTTTGAACTCTTTTATCTAATTGTAATCATCATATTAAATTATCCATATTAAATTTCCTCTATTGATTTATCTGGCATGAGTACATCTTCCCAGCTGAATCTAGTTTTTTCTATGAATGAATGAGACCTTTACTCTTAGGAGCCCACAAAGCTTAAGTAGAAATAAAATTATTACCTTTGCCTATTTCAAAGGGTTGTGTAAGATCAAGGAACGTCCTGCAGATAAAAGCATTTTGAAACTATAAATTATTATACAAATACATTTTTTTTGTTCTTCATATTTTTAATTGTGAAAGAACAAGTTAGCGTCACTGGTCTAAATTAGCAGTATACTAAAAGATGTCAAGGTCTTCCAATGACACCCGGCCTGTAGTTTACATAGTAGATAAAAGGGAAACACAAAGTCCAACAGATAACTAAGTTTGGCATCGCAGAAATTTTATGACCTCATCAGTCAGAAGATACTGATAGAAATGGTGAAAATTATGATTTCACTGAAGAAAAGAAACTACTTGGAGGACAGCCAAACTAGACTTTGCTTCAAGTCTTAATTTTGCAGATGAGCAATCACATTAAACTCCACAAGCATTCATGCAATTGCAGGTTATATTATCCACTTATTTGAGAATAACACAAATTAAAATGAAACATAAAAGCTTTCCTTAAGACACCCAATTTTCAAGTAAATTTTTTAGTTCTGAGTTGAGATATAAAGCAGCTATCTGAAACACAATAAAATACTTAAGACAACGATTAAGACATTTTAAATAACATTTTTAAAGAAGCTACATAATTGTGAAATCCAAATAAAGTCTGTAGTTAATAGATGTGTACCAGTGTCAATTTCCTTGTCTTGATCATGTACTATGGTTATGTAAGGTTAGTTATCATTGAAGGAAGCTGGGTGAAGAATACAAGGGAACTCTGTACTATTTTTGCAACTTCTGGTTAACATAAAATTATTTCAACATAAAAAGTTAAAAAAAAAAAAAAACCACGTGTTTAGTACACCAGAAAGACTATTAAGAAGTACGAAATTTATAGCCTTATAAGGACTGCCTACATGAAACTGAAAATGGAGTTCTTACATTGCTACATAAATAAGGTGCTCATCCATTTCTTCAATCACCCCACAAATATGTACTTTAAAGTGTTATGCATTGGATTTATTGTAATATTTTTCTCCTGACTTCCTTTGGGAATTGCTATATCTTCTTTTCTAATCCTTTCTTCATTTTGCCATGGGTTTCAAATATCCTAAACTCTTCTGCTTGAAGGTTTAGTCATGTCTGATGAGCATATGAAGACAACTAGTTGCCAAATCTTCCACAGATCAGTTTTCAAAATAACAGAGCTATGAATTAACCATGAGGCCCTGGTCACCATCCCATGACTTGGGTTACATGTATAGCTTGTTTGAGGATAGACAAAGAAGAAAATAGTTGGAAAAACAGCAGTTTCATTCTCAATGATGTAGCTGTTAGGGACTGAACCTCTAAATACCTTTTTCCCCCATTTATTTATTTTATTGCATTTTAGGTTTGGGGGTACATGTGAAGAACATGCAAGATTGCTGCATAGGTACACACGTGGCAGTGTGATTTTCTGCCCTCCTCCCCATCACCTACATCTGGCATCTCTCCCCTTGCTATCTCTCCCCAACTCCCCACCCCCCACCGTCCCTCCCCTATTTCCCCCCAGCTGACCCCAGTGTGTAGTGCTCCCCTCCCTGTGTCCATGTGTTCTCATTGTTCAACACCCGCCTATGAGTGAGAACATGTGGTGTTTGATCTTCTGCTCTTCTGTCAGTTTGCTGAGAATGATGGTTTCCAGGACCATCCATGTCCCTACAAAGGACACAAACTCATCGTTTTTGATGGCTGCATAATAACCCATGGTGTATATGTGCCACATTTTCCCTGTCCAGTCTATCATCGATGGGCATTTGGGTTGGTTCCAGGTCTTTACTATTGTAAACAGTGCTGCAATGAACATTCGTGTGCACGTGTCCTTATAGTAGAACGATTTATAATCCTTTGGTTATATACCCAGTAATGGGATTGCTGGGTCAAATGGAATTTCTATTTCTAGGTCCTTGAGGAATCACCACACTGTCTTCCACAATGGTTGAACTAATTTACACTCCCACCAACAGTGTAAAAGTGTTCCTGTTAGAATGGCGATCATTGAAAAGTCTGGAGACAACAGATGCTGGAGAGGATGTGGAGAAACATGAACCTCTAAATATTTTAAAGGTTATTCCACTCTGCATATGGATATCCCTGCAGTTACTCAGGATTATTTCTTATTCAAAGATCTAACAGTGAATACAGGCTATGCAATATAAAACAACCAGTTTTCACTTTCTTTAGATGGGAACTAATATATGTATACTTTTCTCTGATTAAATGGAATTCTTCAACCTGAAAATTATTATTTTCAAAGCAAAAAAGATTCTTAGGGAATCTGCTCTGTAGGATAAAAAAAAATGTTTCTTCTGTAGTTTTATTTCCTTCTAAAACATTCTTCCCATTACACAGGGGTAGCTAGAATAAGAAGCAGGGAAATAAAGAAGTCAATACACTCTCTTTCTCATTTCGTCCATTGTATGTATAACGTTGTCAGGAGCACATCATTTGTAGCATGAATAAATGCTGTGTGACTCTGAGAAAATTCTTAAGCCTCTCTCTAAGCCTCAGATTTTAAAAATAATACCATATGTTTAATACCTGTGATTAGCCTAGATGAATTTGGCAAAGTGTTTGGCACATGAAAAGCTCCATTCTTTCTGAAAGCTACAAAGTCAGAGGCAGACATACTATTAAGACCTGCTTTCTTTCCACTGATGATTGATACTGATTTTTATCCAAGATCAGATACGATAAATGTTGTTCAGTCCTCCCTGCGGCAGTGGTTCATGGTTTGTCAGTATGTCTTCTGCAATGGTTACATGATCTCTACCTGTAAAAGGGATTCCAGATCTTCAGTGACCCCATGTTGCCCAGTTAGCTGGAAACTGCGCGTTTCTTTTTGGGACTCTAGCAAAGGAGCATGTTTGTGAGGAGAATGAATGAGGGGGAAAAAGGTAACTCTGCTCTATCTGCTATAGCTTTTTAAGGCTACTCTTTTTCATTGTGATTTTATTTACCTTCTCTGTTACACACACACAAGCACGCAGACATACACACAGCATGCAGACACATGCACACATACATATATATTACACACATATAATGTATACATATATGCAATACAAAATGTCTGGACACTTGATGGTGCCCAAGCAGCCTCATATAGGCCGTGCATGCCCCTTTTATGTATATATGCATGAGTGTGTGTATGTGCACACATATGTGCATGCACATATACATATTATGTGCATGCATATATACATATATGTATATATGTCATGTATATAATTTTTAAAAATCATTGCTAATAAAGTATGTGATCTCTTCTTTAGCTGAGAGTATTATTTCTTCTTGCCAAATCATGACCCGCTATAATCGCTGCAGCTCCCAGTGACTGTCTGCTGCATTACCATTGGCTTATTTCTTCACAGTTGGCTCATATCCATTTGTGACCAGAAACAGGGTTCCCATTTGCTATGCTGATCCTTGGAAGCCTCACTGAGAAACAATCATACTGTTTGGGTTCAGTCCAAACCAGAAGTGCCTTCTGTGCTCCACCAGATGGCAATCCTGCATCAGAATGGGGGGAAATGGGGCCTGGAGAGAGGTAGTATTTTGGATATACAAGTATGTAGTTCTGGTATTTTCTGCAATGGGAAAAACTGACAAACATGCAGGTTGGTTCAGTAAGAAACGTCGTGTAGGTGTTTTGTAAAAACTCATCACAAGTGTTCTGCAAAGTTAAGAAAAAAGCAAACAATTGTAACTGCCTGAATTAAAATTATGTCGATGACTAACAAGTTTGTGCTACATAACACTGGAAGAGTTGAAAACACATCTACAAAACATAGAATATGTTCAAGTTTGTGGTTACAGTCACTGTCTGCATTTGGTTAGCATTCTAAATATACCTCTGTTTCATAGCTAGGAATTGCCTCAACTTTTGCATTTGGAAAGTGGGTATGACAATACATTGCTGGCAGAATTAAGAGGGAATGTGTACATGTACACGAACAAGCTCTAGAGAATTGATGTAAAGGGATTTTAAAGATCTAGTTTTGCCCAACAACATAAGGTATATGAAGTTTTTCCATCTGTCACTCATAGCAGCTTTTACCATGTACTAGACTAGATAACCTTACCCATTCCCTGAAGAAATCCAGTCCAGAATCTCTAACACATTGCTCATGCCTGTAGCCTGGCTCTGCTCCAAGAAAATGTCATTTTCTGGCAGAAAGTGATGCTAATGAAATAGCATCTACTTCAGGATGCCTGATGTGAGGTCTGTGACTGGGTAAATGGCTAGTTCCACAGACAGGAATAAGTAGAGTCAACACTTGTAGTCTTTTACCTAGTGAAACTTAATGCTACATTGGCATCAACAGGCTTTATGGGTTCATTGCTTTAAGGATGTGCTAGCTTACGAGATCAAGATGGTTTTACTTTCCTTGCTTAGCAAAATTGCATTTTCCAGCATGTTTTAAACATCAGCTAAAGCAAAACTTGGCATCAGCTATCAATTTAGTATTTTTGTAGCAGATCCTGTGTGCATGTCTGTGCATGAATTCTCTGGACCTTCATCTCTTCTCAGTTGGGAGTCAGCTTAAAACACCTTTGAGAGATGATTTAAAATCTTTACCATATCTACTCATGTTTAGTATTATTTTTTATATTTTTGTAGCTCCCAGAGAGATCAATTGATTGCTTCCTAATCCCTTTGGTCACATTAGCAATTTTTCAGTACTAAAGAAGGACATGTTTCTTTTAGCCATTCACTATAGCTTTCTACGTGTCCAAAGATATTTTTCCCTTTCACTTGTGCCTTTTATCCTTGATCATTCTGATTATCACTGGTCGGTAATATAGATTTGTACTTTGGCTCTCTAATATAAATTTATGTTACATAACCAAAGTATAGAGATATTCACAGTAGGAAAAATAATTTGCAAAAAATATATATTTCTACACTCGTAGCAGAATTTGGGGTGGGGCATTTTTTTTTTCTGTTTAGGATATGTAACCAAAATGTTGATGTCTAAAGATATTTGATAATTGCATCATAGTGCAAGTGAACCAAGGTCAATTAATTTAACATGATGCTTATTGGCAATGGTAAAAGGTTATATATCATTGTGCTTTAGAGATAAGAGCACACACTTACATGCTATCATAGTGCATGCTTCCATATTCCTTGCACACAGGGGAAGCCATAAAGATGAAGCTTGTCAAACTCTTCGAATTATGACAGTTGGATTGTATTATACCACAGAAGGAAATCTCACACATTATATATTAAATCAGTTTTTTTAAAGGGCGGTTTTACAACAGTTTCTATAATTAAGCAGCAAAATGGGTCACAGGATAATAGTTTACATATTTTTCCTAACCCAAAGACCATGTAAAAATTTGACCTAATTAAAGATCTGTAAAGAGCTTTTAAATTATTCTACTAAGGTGAATTTTGCTTAGTTATGAAATGAGGTTTAAGGATTTCTTCTTGATTATTTCATGTAAAAATCTTCAAGAAAATTAAAGAAGATTAATAGCTTTAGAAACAAAGGTGACACAGGCTGCAGCTTTTCATTGTGAGTACCCACGATAATCTGCAATATCATTTTTCTTATATTTGTTTACTTTCCATTATTCATAATTGCTTCTTTTAATTGGACCATGCTAGCTCCATTTAGTCTCCCCCTGAGAGTGATGTTGGCAGAAATGATTGGCAGTTCTCTCTCCCACACGGTGCCATCCTGAAATTGCAAATGTCAGTTAGCAGGCTTTTCTCACCAGTGTTTAAGAGTAGGAGTCTGCATTTAGCAGAAAGTAGTCTGGGTGCACATATTTCTGAATAAATACATGTGAAATTATGCATTCAAATAATGGAATCAAAAGACTGAAGGAAAACCGGAGGGGTCATACTCCATTCATGCTATAGACTTCAGGTTCCTAGTCTATTCCTCAGCCACCAGGCATATGAAACTTTCTCCTACTTTTGAGAATCATCATATGTAACCCCCTCTTAGTTGTCTATGGTAGAGGGTTAACTGCACGTTGCTCAATTAAACATGCAAGCATTTCTTTTCAATATCATGACCTTTGAACTAAGGTTTTTATGAGTCTCTGACCAGAAGTAAAAGTGGCAAGTCTCAGTCCCTTATCTCCTTGATTTTCATACCTAGCTAAAAATTAAGTGCTATTAAGCGGTGAAATGGCCAATATATTAGGGAAGTAGGATAAACAGAAGCTGTTGCAGAAGGAGAGTCTATGTTTGTCACAGTCTCTGGATCATGACAGAATATTTATGCACTAAAAGCAAGTAAGAAAATTCTCAGTCACTTAATGGATGCTGAAATGACACAGCACAATTCTACATCGACTCCCCAGAATTCTTATTTGTAATACATCTAAAAGCAACAAAAACACAATTTAGTATTTAATTAATGCTATATGAATTCAATGGCTTTATAGTAAATCAGTTGGATGTTTTCCCAAAAAAGAAAGAACCCAAAAAGACAAAGAAAAAGAAAAATAATTTTGGCAGCCAGGCTACCTGGATTCAAAATGAACTAAGGAGAAGAGGGGAAATTTCTCATGACTAGGTCATAATTTCTGTTGACTGAAGCAAAGAAGCCTATAATTGGGCCAGATAAAAGGAGACTTAAAGCACAAAATGGAGTCTTGCTATTCTTACCTGTTGTTTTGAAATCTCAGAGAAGAAACTTTTGAATTAGTTGCAGAGTTCCTACTCTGAGTGCTTTATAAATATTAACTCATTTAACCTTGGACATAAAGGACAAGCATGAGATTTTGGCCCCTCTTAGGAAGTATGGCATGAAAACGTTTTCTGGCCAGCTGCTCTCTGGAAGTCTTGAACAGAGAAATTGACATTCCTGCCTTAATCTTATCTTCTCCCTGAAAAAAGTCACTGTCGAGTTGTGACTCAAATAACCACTTCTAGTAACCTGTGGCAGCCTGGGGACCACACACGGTTCTTGGTGCATGGGGCAGTCACATTCGCTGCTCCTCAGCTATCAGGTAGAGTTCACTCATGTTCACTTTTCCTACCTGGGCCCTTATTTATCTTGACTGTAGTGAGAAATGCAGACTGGAGTGGAAGTGGGTAGTCACAATAAAATTAACACTTAAAAGACTTTTTTTTTGAACAAGCAGTTTGTCAGAGCTATGGAAGTAAGTGTTTGATGGAACTTATTTAATCCTCACAAGAAAGGTTCTTCTTATCCCCACTCTAAGGCCACAGGCAGAAGCCATTCACCTTTCCCTATCTCCTGCCTAAATTACTCTCTTAAGCAAATAGAATGCCTTTGCCTCAATAAAATGTTCTCTTCCAGAACTCCTCCTTCCAAAAACCTTACAGGACGAGAGCATTTTTATAGAACAGTATTCTGCACAGTGGCTGAAATGTGTCTGTTGAATCCCGAGTATTTTTTTTACTAGAATTGTGTTTATTTCTGTGATAGACTAATTGATAGAATCTTACCATTTTAACACCATTCACATGAAAATTAATGTTTTATAATAATATATTCTGGAGGACGACTGGAATGATTTTTCAGGCCTCCTATTCTATTTCAAATCTTTAGAATGTGTTTAAGAAACAATTATGTCAGTGTAGTTTTGATTTGCATTTCTCTGATGACCAGTGATGATGAGCATTTTTTCATATGTTTGTTGGCCTCACGTATGTCTTCTTTTGAGAAGTGTCTGTTCATATCCTTTGCCCACTTTTGAATGGGCTTGTTAGTTTTTTTCTTGTAAATCTGCTTTAGTCCTTTGTAAATTTTGGATATCAGCCCTTTGTCAGATGGGTAAACTGCAAAAATTTTTTCCAAATCTGTTGGTTGCCGATTCACTCTAATGATTGTTTCTTTTGCTGTGCAGAAGCTGTGGAGTTTGATTAGGTCCCATTTGTCTATTTTGGCTTTTGTTGTCAATGCTTTTGTTGTTTTGGCCATGAAGTCCTTGCCTATGCCTATGTCCTGAATGGTTTTGCCTAGATTTTCTTCTAGGGTTTTTATGGTGTTAGTCTTATGTTTAAGTCTTTAATCCATCTGGAGTTAATTTTAGTGTAAGGTGTCAGGAAGGGGTCCAGTTTCTGCTTTCTGCACATGGCTAGCCAGCTTTCCCAACACCATGTATTAAACAGAGAATTCTTTCCCTATTGCCTGTTTTTGTCAGGTTCGTCAAAGATCAGATGGTTGTAGATATGTTGTTTTGCTTCTG